CAACCGAGGAAGAAGGAGAGAGGGAGGGGGAGGGGAGGGGAAAAGGGAGGGGCACGGAATGAGTGAGCAGGTCGTCCAGGGAGGGGCTTTCTTCAGCTCGATTTATACGCAGGTGCATAAAGGCGGAACTTCTGGAACTTAAGTCCAGCGCCTTTTCTCCTTCGCCTCGACCCACGTGTTCCATTCACACGTTCCCTCAGCCCCCCCCTTTTTTTTACAAGCCCCGCCACATTATGGAGATCCTTTTCTCCTCTCAGAGTAACAAAATCCTTTTTTACTAGTGAAGGGGGACGATTTTGATAGCTCCCTCCGAGCTCACAAAACAGGTGTTTTCAGGACCTAAGCTTCCCAAGACAGCGATTTTAAACAACTGATCAGCAGTTCGCAAAGCAGTTTTTCTATGGCCGATTTTTGCTAGACAATGACAATTCTTCCCCACTGGAATGCATTAAACAGGTTTCAATGCATTCCAATGGGGAAATGCTTTTCGCTAGACAATGATTTCGCTAAACAGCGATTTCAGTGATACGGATTATCATCGTCTAGCGAGGCACCACTGTACTATTGAAACAGTTACAACAAGTATGACTGTGAGCGATACCAGCAAAATGGGTTGGGGTGCTCATTGTCTCTACAGGCCAATTCATGCCATGTGGAAAGAATTCACCACATCAGCTTCCTAGAATTGCTGGTCGCCTTCAAGGCTCTGAAATCACTTGGAAATTTGGAAAAGTGGTTCAGATAGCAACAGCCAATACTATTTTATCCCATGAAGAAAGAAGGGAGGGGGAGAGAAGTTCTTTAAATCTACTTTATCTAACAGATCAATTCTAGGAAGGATGTGGTTTAAAGCTCGATGTTTCAAAGAGCAATCCACATGAAGGGAGAGAAAAACTAAGGAGATGTTCTAAGTAAAACACTCACAAAGACACACAAGTGGGAGATATCACATTCCATAGCATTCCAGAGGCTGAGAGACAGATGTGGAAAACCAGGCATAGACATGCTTGCTTCAAGGACCAACGAGAAGTGTCCCACGTTCTGCTCATGGGCACGCAGAGGGAAACCCTCAGTAGGAGACGTGTTCACAATGCCCTGGACAGGAGGTCTCCTTTACCTGTTTCCTCCTTTTCTCTTCATACAGTGAACGAGAGGGAATTGAAAGCAAGACAGAGCAGATGCGACACCAGTAATATAGGGGTGACTGCCTCATCCATGGCATTATCCAATAGCAGAACCAGGGGACATCCACTCCAAGGGAGTGTTGGGAGAATGAGAACAGAGAAAAGAATATCGTTCTTGACCCTGTGGAACTCCCTGCCACAGGATTGTGGTGATGGCATCTGGCCTAGAGGCCTTGACAAGGGAATTTGGACAGATTTCTGGAGAAAAAGTCTATCACAGGTGACCAGCCATGATGGGGATGTAGAATCCCTAGGCTTCAAAGGAAGGGACCTTCAAATGCCAGATGCAGGGGAGAGAGATTAGGAGACAAGGATCTTGTTGTCTCCGGTGCTCCCAGAGGCATCTGGAGGGGCCGCTGTGAGATCCAAGAAGGTGGACTAGATCAGTGGTCCCCAACCTTTTTAATGCCAGGGACCGGTTTTGTTAAAGACCATTCTTCCAAGGACTGGGGGGGTGGGGGGTGGGCTGCCGCTGTTGCTTTATCAAGAGAGAAATATCAAGCTTATCCTCCCTCAATACATGAACTTAGCACTCCAATATCTCTTCAAACGATACTAAAATTTCTCCTGCAACTGAAGCAGGTGGGTTTCTCGTTATTCCTCTTTTGAAAGCCTCCTTCTCGGCCAGCCTGGCTTTTCAACCGGACGGCCCTCCTTCATCACAACCGTTCAAACATCAAACGTTAAAGGCGTTTTTTAAAGGGCTGAGCGATCCTTACTCCGATGTTCGATGGCCCCAGAAACCATGGCCGCTTTCTCTGGTGCAGACTTCAATCACAAAGGCCCCTTTTCACCCTTGTGGCGACTTCAGAATTGAGTCTCTTAATTTTTAAAACAGTATTTTTGACAGCGATCACGTCTGCGAGAAGAGCAGGTGAAATCGCAGCCTGAAGAAGGGACTCTCCATGGATCCTGTCCCAGAGGACCAAACCTATTCTGAACACACGGATAAAACTCTGTGTGTGTGTGTGTGTGTGTGTGTAGGGCTACGGGTCTGTCACTGCGGGGGGTCACCAGACTGTCCAGTTCTCCCCATCCAGCGCAGGCCAAACCCAGACCTTTCCAGCGGGCTCAAAGGAAGGCCAGGTTTCGTAGTCCCAAGACTCTCAGCTCACGGTCAAAGGTCCAAAACCACAGAAGCCGCCCAGCCAGCTCCCCCGAAAGGCACTGCCTGGACCTTCCGGGCTTCCAGATTTCTAGAAGGGGGGGCCTCCCCCTTGTCTGGGGTCATGATCCATTTAATTTAGGGGCTCCAGATGCAGGACAAGCACGAAATGACGAAAATGGGGCACGTG